CTCCCTTACACTGACTTGTGGGTTTGAATTGACCTTGCAGTTTGCACCCCTACTCATCATCACAATACCACCAGGGCTCCTCTAAGAGAAAGACCTCATAAACCCAAATTAAACTCACTCAGTGGATCTCAACTAAGAGTGACCCGGTAGGGTGGAGTAGACCTGGATGACCTTGACAAGAATGGGAGTTGCAGAACACTTCTTTATACTCACGCTGAACTTGTACAGAAAGCAAGAGGATGCTGAGCTTAAGCGAAAAACAAAATACTGCATGGTTTACAAGCAGGAAAGGTGTGTATCAGGGTTGTATCCTCTCACCATATTTATTCAATCTGTATGCTGGACAAATCACCAGAGAAGCTGGACCATATGAAGAAGAGTGCAGCATCATGATGGAACAAAGGCTTATTAACAACCTGCGACATACAGATACGACAACCTTGCTTGCTGAAAGCAGGAGGGCGAACAGCATGTGCTGACGAAGAGCAAAGACTGCAGCCTTCAGTGTGGAGGACAACTCAATATAAACAAGACCAACTTCCTCACAACTGAACCAATGGGTAATGAATCATGATAAATGGATCAATGATTACCGTTTTCCACGATTTTGGCTTGCTTGGGTCTATAGTCAATGTTCCTTGAAACAGCAGTCAAGGGATCCAAAGGTGACTTGTATTGAGCAAATCTGCTGCACAAGATTGCTTAGAAGAGTCTTGAAAAGCAAGAATGATACTTGGAGGACTGCAGTGTGCCTGACTCAAGCCATGGTATTTTCAACTGCCTGACATGCCTGTCAAAGTTCAATATTGACGAAGAAAGACCAACAAGGATCAAGGCAATGGCATTGTAATGCTGGTGAAGAATACTGAAAGTACCACAGACTGCAATTAGGACAAACAACCTCTCTTGGAAGAAGTACAGCCAGAGTGCTCCTTAGAGGGAAGACTGTATCTTAAGTATTTTGGACATGTTTTCAGGAGAGGCTGTCTCTGGAGAAGGACATTATGTTTCCTGAAGGAGAGGGGCAGCAATAAAGAAGGCACGCCACAAAACGGGTTACCACAGAGGCTGCATCAATAGGCTTGAGCACAGGTTCTGCACCCTGGCCGTGTTTCATTCTGTTTTACAAAGTCTCTCTACGGGTTGGAATCTACTTGATGGTGCCTAACAACAAATAAAATAACAAGAACTCTTCCATAGAGTTTCCTAGAATGTAAATCTTTATGAAGGCAGATTGCTTCAGAATGGCTAGTTGATTCAAACTGCCAACCCTTTGGTTAGAAGCCCAATACTTATCCTACTGCATTATCAGAGCTCCTTCCTTCATATGAATAAAGAGTGCATAATTCATGTGTTTTACCCAAATAGTTTGATGGAATTGTCATTACATTGAGAGAGACAGAGAGAAACAGAGACAGACAGAGAAACTGACACAGAACACCTTAAGAAGTCAGCTGCTAAATGTAATTTAGATCAGTTAACTGGCCCAAGCTTCTAGATGCTTCTTGGGAGAAAGGTGTGGCCATCAGCCCCTGTGTGTACTACAGCCTTGGAAACCCGAAGGGGCAGATGTATCCTGCTCTAAAAGCTTCCTATAAGTCTGAATCCACTTGAAGCCAAGAGTTTACTTTTGTACTCCTTTATTTTTGGCCAAACATATTATAAATATGTATAAATATTTACAAGTTCTGCTGACAAGCAGAGCAACGCCAGCTAGAGGAACAGTCATTTTGACCTGGAGAACGATTCTGAGACTTGCTATAAAAAGGTTTGTTTGGAATCTTGTGTCCTTAGTCATTTACCAACAATACTTTTACTTTTCTCTTTCAGTTTGAGAGGAAGACACTTGAGTACATTGATCTTACATGATGTTATGAAAGTCATGAAAAATAAGAATTTTAGATTTCATAATTGGATTCTGTTATTATTTGTTTAAATTTAATATAAAGTCTTGAACTTTGTAAGTATACAATAATATGCATCAAATTTAATTTTTTACCCCCAACTTAAATGTATTTAGATTTAATTTTGATTATATTTAAGTTGGTATGTGTGTAAACTGCTTTCTCTGCAAAATAATATCTCTTTATATTCCTAAAATGAATCCAGATTTAGAATTAACTTGCTGGGTCTGCTTGTCCCTAGATTAGACATGTCCCTATCAAATAAATTTAGAAGTTAGTTTTATAAATTATTAGTAGGAAAGGGTAAAAATATTTATTTATTGAACTCTTGTTCCAAAAAATGATAAAAATAACTATTGTTAAGGGAAGTTTTGCTTTCCTATTATACTCTTATTGATATCTACTGAAGAATTCAGTATGTCACAGTGGTAAATTGATTAAAAGTTCCTGAGAGTAATTCATAGATTGGAGGATAGAAATTAGAAGTATTTTATCGAGAAAGTGATGAATAATTGAATACATTTTTCATAAATGAGTCCATTTTATGTTAGTCATTTGCATAATAGTTTACTATAAAATATTACAAAACTAGTATATCAGCTACAATACTTATCATGTCTCCAAGAATAACAGATGTTAAGACATATTTTACAAGCATTATTATTTTAAAATTAAAATGAAATTATATTATAATTAAAATTACAGACTTCAAGTATGAAAGTTCTTTGTCTACACATGGAATTCACCCTAGATCTCCTTAAATTCTACACAAAAGTAACATTATCATGCCATAATCTCAAATGTTTTTTAATTATGTCTGGAAACTTTCGGTGATTTGTTTTGGACCATATATCTACAAAAGTAATTCACATATATTTGTTTACAACTTGCAAACACCAAAATTGCCTTAATTCTAATAATAACATTACATTTCATTTTCTCTATTTTATAGCTGAGAAAAAGGAATCTTAGAGAGACAAATGAATTTTTTTGGAGCCCAGCCATATACTAATTAGTCTCATATGGTTTGACTGCAAGTGTGAATATATTTCTCTCTTGCCTCCCTCCTTGTTATGTATGTCTTCTGTTGTTACTGGAGGTTTAGTGAAAAGATGCAAAACAGGGACCAGATCAAAGATACTAGCAACAAGTCCAGGGCATTGGAATGTTTTCAGGGTAAGTTTCACTGAAATAAGTGCATTTCCATCCTTAGAAATAACCTGCTACATCATTAATTTAGTGATTTGCATTCAAAATAAGGTGATATGTTAATCCCCACCTAACTCACAATAAAAAGTGAGGAAGAAAGAGAGAGGGAGAAAGCTTCAGAAGACTCTAAAAACAAACATTAACTAAAACAAAAAGTAGGCAAAATCTCTTTAGCTTCCTCTAATTTTCCCCAGTTGGAAGGTATTAATACTATATTAAAATCAATTTGGAAGTGATTTAAAATACAAAAATGCTACTCTTCACAGGAAAACATGCAGCAAAATGCAAACAGTATTTAATCACCTTCCCATTATCAGAAGACTGCTTTGCTGTGCGTGCAAGAGTTGGGTAGCCATTATGTTTGACAGTGGTCTTTGAAATATTGTCTTTGCATGCTTAATTTACACTTCGACATTTCCACTACGGGGATCTTTGCATGTCCAGAAAGTGCAAACAGACATTCCAAAGAGATAAGTAGTTCTTAATGTTAAGGCAGGTATGAGCTAGACGGGCTGCCCCGTTTGCATGTCTTTATGTTGTTCCAACCAAATGATAGAGGAGCATGAACACTCCCAAACCTGGAGCGTCCATGTCCATGGGAATATTCATTTCTCTAATTTTAATTTATTTGCAATATAGCTCCCTTGCAAAGGCTATCCAATGTCAGAAATTCATAGACATCTGATGAACTACCAGATTTTATTATGTAAGAGAATATGAGATGGGTTCAAAAATATGATAAAAAAAGGGAATGAAAAGATAAGGGGATTTTCCTATCAACTTCTTGAATTTCCTTTGTTTGTTAAATAAAATGTAATGATCACATTTTATATTTTTAGAAAGTATTCTACACTTAAACATAAGTTCCCTTATCTTGGCTTCACTAAAGGAAAGAATATATGCAAAAAAATGGTTCATTTATCAACAACATAAGAAGAAAGAATTAAATTTAAGTTTATTGATTAAACATTAAAACTTTATATTTTTGTTTTATTTAGTATGAAGTATTGGAATCATACATTTGCATTTAAATAGCAATGGTACTTTAACTTGCCTTTCTTCTTATTAAAATTGAGTCAAATAAAAGAGCCTTGTAATTTGATGGGATAATTATAGCTGTGCTAATATACTTATTTGATAATAGGAAAACACTAATTATGTATTGTTTCATATGTATATCTATAACTTCTGAAACCTAAAAATCTATAGATCATTTCAACAGCAATTTGATAAATAGTTTATATATATTAATGATTATAATTAAAATTTTTGTTTGAGTTCATACAAGTGAATATAATTAATTTTATAAAAACCATTATAAAGCTTATGGACTAAAATAGCAGAAACAGATTTTATATCATTTTATATGCAATATTAAATGTTTAAGTCTAATTAGTATCACTCAATACATATTGTGGATACATTTGTTGGATGAATAGTGGATTTTACTTGCTCTCGTAATAACACATTGCAGAGACACTAAAAAAGAAAACAAAAATTCACTGACATTGTGTCAATTCTGACTCATGGAAACCCCAAAGGACGAGTCAAACTCCCCCCGTGGGTTTCCCAGACTGTGTGGATTGTTATGGGATCAGAAACCCTCATTGTTCACCCATCATGCGGTTGGTGGTTTTGAACTGGTGACCTTGTGATTATCAATGCAACTCGTAACTACTGTGCTACCCAGGCTCCCCTTTGAAAAGAAGAACCATCATGCAGAGTAAACTATATCTAGTTTTAAAACATAAAGGCACGAGCAAGATACTTGGCTAAGATAATTAGTTACATACTTTGGAGAAATAACATATTTTTAATTTTACCAATTTAAATACCCACAGAGTTTTTAAAGAGAGACGTGAGCAATCTATACCCCAAAACACTCACCTACTGTCAGCTGTCCAGTTAACTGCCCCATGTGATTTCTTGCATTCACTGTTACATTCCTGTCAGACTGTAAGACCAGTGGACTATCCTAGGGAACATGTATAAAATAAAAAATAAAAAAAATCAAACAGAAAATAGAAATATCATAAAATTCATACACATATATAATTATACTATATTTGGGAACTACCGACATTATTATTATTATTTATATTAAGAGAAAATATATCATTTTTATATTATATATGTGTTATCACACAAAACATTGCCTGAAAATTATGAGTGGCTCACTGTAACTACTTTCCAAAGTAGGGAAGTCTCTAGAGAAGGACACTAACAGTTGGAGGGAAGCATTCCCTGCGCTACTAACGGCTCCATGTGAAAAGTTGCAATAACTTATATCCTTCCCACTTCCCAATAGCATCACATTTGTTTATGCAAATTTTAACAGTTCTATCCTTATGGGAAAGCTACTTTTTAAAATCTACCCTGCAATTTAGCTCAGATTTCACTTTAATTTTTGCCTTCTTAAACATGACCTCCCTATTCCATGTACTACAAATGCTTAAACTCTATTTGATTGAAAACACTTATTTTGCTCAGGGACATGTTTGCTTGGGTTTTGTTTGTTTTCATCACAAGAGGACCTGCCCATGGGAGAGGAACCATTTCAGTCTTGTAGTGTATACAGTTATATTCGCAGTACATTAACGTACAGCTAAAGGAAAGCCCCTATGGTGTGCTTATTGAGTGGTAAAAAATCTAGATGAAAATTGAGGCTGCAGCTCTAAATAAGTCACAGGAGCCGTGGTGGCATGGTGGTTATGCACTGGGCTGCTATTGGCAAGGTCAGTTGGAGACCACCTGACAAGAGAAAGATGGGGTTTTCTACTCCGGTAGAGAGTCTCAGTCCCAGAAACTCGGAAATTCTCTTTTAAGATAAGTAGTCTAGGTCCTATGCTGATAGTTGACCTTCAATTTTCACTAAGCATTAAATAAATAATTGAGAGAAAATATGACTGCTTAAGAATCTGCATATACAATGATTAACTCTGTTCTTGCCACCATCCATCCCTAACAAGTGATTTACAGCTGACTAAGTTTTCCATTTTATCATTTAAGACATGGTGACCATCTACAAACTATCCGTTCATGTAAAGCATATATTCTCTGTGCATGGGACAGTTCAGGAAACAAATCAGAGACCAACGCTTTCATGGATCTTCCATTCTAGATTTGAAAGTCTATGAAAATCGATGTCAATACAATCTTCCTATCCAGGTGGTATACTACTCTTTCCAAACTTACATATATACACGTGCTTCCATATATGAGCAATACAAACTCACTTCAGGATAAGAATTTGGAGCTGAGTTGTGCAGAGAAAGACTCCATAGCCTTGTCCTAAAATGGTTTTAAATCCAATCAAACTAGAGGGAAAACAATTGTTAGTACGCAGGTGTGTTTTAAAGAGTTTCCTTTTAAAAGTTGGTTTTACTGAGACATTTAAAATATGATTTTAATTTTGAGTATGATTTTCTCCATTTCAAAGAATATGGTCTTCAATAAATTGAAACTTAATTGTATAAGTATACACATAGGGTTTTCAACCTGTGACCCCGTAGAAACGGATCATCAGGGCTTTTTTTCTAAAGCACCATTGAGTGGATTGGAAACACTAGTCTTTTAGTACCTAAGTAGTTAACAATTTGAACCATACAAAAATTCTATACCTGTACATTTATATATATAAACTTTTATTATATCTTATATATTACTTGTTCATCATATAGTTTGAATAACTATGACAAAAGAAAACAACTTGAACTTCATCTTTCCCTATTTTAATCTGATTGAATGACTACCTCTTGGACAGGCTGTGCATGAGCATAATGAAGTGGTTTGGAATTAGCATTCTTCTCAAGGATATCCATACTTTGCTATAACCCACACAGTTGAATGCCTTTGCATAGTTAATAAAACAATCTGACATTCTCAGCTTTCCACCAAGATTCATGTCATGTCAGACATTTCTGAAGAATTGGCCTGAATTTCTAGTGGTTCTCTGTCCATGTATTGCTATCACAATATTGAATTAACTTCAGCAAAATATTATTTACATGTGATATTAGTGATATTGTTCAACATTTTCTGCATTCTTTTGGGTCACCTTTTTATTTTCCAGAATGAGTACAAATACAGATCTCTTCCACTCTATTGACAAGATAGCTCTTTCCCACATTTCTGAGCAGAGATGAGTGAGTGCTTCCAGTGCTGTATCAGCTTGCTGAAAGACCCACTGGTAACCCATCCACTCCTGGAAGCTTGCTTGCACTGATGCCTTCAGTGCAGCTTTGATTTTTCAGGCGCTCTTTGGAATGTTCGGTCTATTCCTTTACTTCAACCTTTCTTCCACTGTCTTTAGCTGCTTTCTGATCAAGCGCAGATAGCAAGACTTTAGACACGTTTTCAGGAGAGACTAGTCCCTGGAGAAGGACATCATGCAGGTAATATAGAGGGGCAGCAAAAAGAGGATGCCCTCAAGGAGATGGATTGATTCACTGGCTGCAACAATGGTGTCAAGACTCATTTATTTAAACACCACCTTGTTTGCTGAAAGCAGAGGACTTAAAGCATTTGCGATTGAAGATCAAGAATTACAACCTTCAATATGGAATATAACTCAATGTAAAAAAGCCCAAATCGTCACCACAACTGGATCAATAGATAACATAATGGTAAGTGGGGTGACGATTGAAGTTGTCAAGGATTTCATCTTGCTAGGATCCAGAATCAATGTTTCATGGAATAGCAATCAAGAAATCAACCCATATACTACGTTTCGGCTAATCTGTTGCATGAAACCTCTCCAGACTCTTTAAAGTGTTGGAGTGCAAGGATGTCACTTGAGAACTATGGTGCATTTGATATAAGCCATACTCTTTGGGCTGCTAACCTCACGATCAGCAGTTCAAAACCACCAGCTGCTCTGAGACGCTGTCTATGCCCATACAGTGTTACATCTTGGAAAGCCACTGGTGCAGTTCTACTCTGTCCTAAAAGGTCGCCATGAATCTGCATCTACTCGAAGGCAGTGAGTGAGTTATATGTGTGTGAAAGATGGACATTTAACAAGGAAGACTGAAGAGAAATCCGTGCATTTGAGTATGAAGTTGGTGAAGAATAATGAAAGTAGCATGGACTGACAGTGGAACAAACAAATCTACCTGGAAAGAATATGGGACCAGAATGTTCCTTAGAGCATTGCACTTTGGACATGTTATCAGGAGGCACCAGGCCCTGAGAAGAAATGAGTTGCTAAAGTAGAAGGGCAGCAGAAAAAACAAACAAACAACCTCCTTCCCCCGAGACTCTTCAGGATATGAACTGAGATAATGACTGCAATGATGGGCTCAAATTGAACCATGGTGAGGGGAGGCGGAGTTTCCTTCTGTTATCCATAGGATTTCTGGCAGTTGGAGCTGAGTACAGGCCACCTGACAGGAAGCTCTGTACCCTCTTGAACTATGTTTTGCACACACATTTTAGAAGGTACCACCTACGAGATATTCCTACTTGCCAATCTGAAGAACAATGATGAATGATTCATTTTTTAAATTGTAGATGACCAGACGTTGATACATTGTTACTTCAATTTGTACAACTTTCCTCTCAATTTTGCCAGGTGAGTTTCCTTCATTTAGCTGACAATTATTATGCAACGAACGCTAGATTTACTTAAAATCCCATTGGCTATGTCAGAAATGTTTCTTAAGTAAACATTATAAATGAACTATGTTTTATTGGGATTTTTGCAAAAGACTTCTACCTCATATCCCTACACACATTCTCCTTACATTGATTTTTCAGAGGCAGTGTTATTTTTAAAAGTACTTGTAATTGAAAATCATTTGGTGCCTTTGAATATAGAACAAACGAACAAACAAAACCTTTATTAAGACTTCAGTTCTTTCTTGGTAAAAAAATTCACACTCAAAACTCTCTGTAAAATGTGATACAAAATCTACTTTTTTGTAGCTCCAATTCATATCCCATCCTCTATGCATAAATTACACAACCCCCCACTCTATCTCTGATATCGGTCACCTCTGTGAATTCCCAACTCTGGTTTCCCAGATCTGAGAAATGACACACCTAAAGGGCCCAGGTGTCTTCATAGACCCGCCTCAGATGTTCTTCTGTGGAAACATCTCTTGCTCCAGAGTTAACTTTTACCTTCATCTGCCCTCCTAGTTAGTGTGGATATTTATCATACAATTTGTTATTTTAAAAATGATTCATGTATTTATACCCTCTGTCCGACACATACTATCTTTTTTTTAAAACATTTTATTAGGGGCTCATACAACTGTTATTGCAATCCATACACACATCAATTGTGCAAAGCACATTTGTACATCATTCTCAAAACATTTTCTCACCACTTAAACCCCCGACATTAGGTCCTCATTTTTCCCCTCCCTCCCCGCTCCCCCCTCCCTCATGAGCCCTTGATAGTTTA